TATATACAAATAACATATGAGTGGAAGAGTTTAGGATTAGCAGAACATGGCTAATCAGTCACAACATTACTTAAATGTTAGTGAGGCAGATTCCAAAGTTATCTCTGTTAGTGGTTAAAAATGCAAAAAAAAAAAAGTAGCTTGGACCTCCTCATATCTGAACTGACCAACCAAACTATGTCATGAACTTTTACTCATATCCAAATCCTGTGGAGTTGAATGAGACAATCCCTTGCTCTCTTTCCTTTCCTCACTTTCTCCAGGCATCACAGCAGTGAGGAGTGGGGTCCTGATTTTGCTGAGTAGACATCTTTGCCTGCTGTTGCTTTCTATGCACTGCAGGATAGAGGGCTGGTCATAGCATAGGATGTGTTTCATTTCTCATTTGGCCTGCATTTCTTTCTTTGAATGTCACAGTGATATGAATTGGCCCCAGCTAGCTCAAACCACCCTTGCCATACTCTTCTTTGTTTGCTCCCACCTGACAGGGAAGTCCAGTTTTCCCCACTCCATTGCCCAAAGCAATAGAATGCACAAGCAGGCAAAGCATTGAGGAAGCACTAAATAAAAGTGGCTGTTTTTATGTTTTTTCTTAACATTACATAGTGGCTCCAGTTCCCTATGCTGGGTGCCCAAAGGGCATTGCTTGCTGGCCTTACCTGACAGGAGGCACAGATGGGATCCACAATTTGATGGAGGTTTAACGAGGATCCCACATGAAAAAAAATCATACGAAATCAGCATCCATTTGGGATTTCATGGATCCGCCTTTTACTTTCATCCAGACTTTGAGCATATAAAGAGTGGCCCTGGCTGCCAGATGGGCGGTAATAATAATAATAAACTGGCACATGCACTATGATACAAATCACTGTCCTCTTATTTAGGGGATATATGCTGACATTGTCAGTGGCGACCCTTTATCCGACTCATTCCCCGAAATTAGCACAGCGAAGGAACCGACCATCCTGGGAGCTTCCTAGAAGAAAAGCCTCTCTCCCTTTTCCAGTCTCTGCTGAAGGAGCAGCGAAAGCAATGGAAACAGATGTTCCGGTTTTCCTTCCTTCCGAAAAGCAGCAGAAACGGTCACTCCGAGTTTAACTAAGTTACATACATTACGCCATCCGCCGCCAGGGAACGTAACCAAGGGGCTCTACATCCCCTCCCTCCCGCTTCCCCCCCCATACACTGCCACGTTCCAACTTATTCCTCCGCTGCTCGATGCAAGGCAAGCACAAGGGTGGAAGGCGTTCCCTCGCGCCCTCTCACC